TTTTTTTTTTTTTTTTTTTTTTTTGGCACCGGAGATGAACTCGGTTACAAGGCAGGTGGTAGAACCACTGAGCTAAATCCCCAGCACTACTGTTTTCTTTTTCTAATCAAGTCATTGCGAGACTTCAAATGGATTTGTAGCCTCAGAAATCTTTTTATAAACACATAAGTCTATACAGTATATATGCACATACATATTTCACTCAAAGACACACTCAAAACACTAAAAAAAAAACACTCAAAAATTTTGCCAGAACATTTATGAATACAAATCAATGGTCATTTTGTGATTTTGTGAGTAATATGTTCTTGACCCATGAATATCTTCCCAACTGTCTTCATGGTGATTAGCAATAAAGATCTTGTTTCTGTGTATGAGCATAGCATGTGTCTGTGAGTTTTGTAGCTGCCTGTTCTAACTCAATAGGATACTAAAAATGTAGCTGCTTTCTTCTTCGTTCTTGACCTTAATTAGGGACATGTAAACATCTCAGAGAAAATGCAGTTTTTTCTCCCCGAGCTGTTTTACATAAAAATTTTCCCCTTTGACCTGGCCACCATTCTCATAGACTGGAAGAGGACTGAGAGATACTGCTGTGACTTTGCTGAGAGCCCTGTTTTTGTCTGCAGTGGCTTTTGCACTTTCTCATGATGGCCAGCAAGGGGCGTTGTTTACAAAGGTCTTCCAAAATTGAACCAGGGGAAAATTCCTAAAATCTTTCCCTGGCTTGTATCACCCGGCTAGGACTGTAGTGAGAGGTGTTGGATGTCATGCAGGTAAACTTGTGCTGAGCTGGCTTGATTTACACAGTCACATAGCACTGTAAGGGACTCTGGCAACGACAATTTGTTTTATGCTTCGAGTACAAATGTACTGCCTCCATCCTATGGTGGAAATGATGGGACAGTTGATTCTCTGTATGTGTTTGTATCAGTCATCAAGATTTCTCATAATCCTAGTTCTATGTGCACGGTGTTTTAAAGCTCAATGGAGCAAATGTAATCACACACTACGAGGATGGCACACAATTGTCAGGTTTCAGGTATCTTCCCTGGTGAGGAGAATCCCAAACTGGGAGCCAAAACACTTGATTTCTAGTATCTGCTCTCCATTAACTAGTTAATTAACCTTCCAGCCATGAAAGTCCTCATCTGGGAACAGAACTGTTCTCAGGATTCTGTTCAGAGCTAAGTGTGGTTGCACACACCTGTAGTCCCAACTATTTAGGAGGCTCAGGTGCGAAGATTGCTTGAGCCCAGGAGTTAGGGGTCAGCCTGGGAAATATAGCAAAACCCTGTCTCTTAAAATAAACATTCTGTTCAATTTTGATGCTCTGTTATTTCGCCTCAGTGAGTTTATATGCAAGTGTAACTGTACCTGTAATGAAGTAAAATTCTTGTGGCATCAGGTGCATTCAGTTCCAATACCTTAGGGGACCTACTTTGCAGCTCTCCCTTTCAAAGATTTTCCATGGCCATTTGGTTATCTCGCCCAGTGTGCTGTGTACATGGGGAGCTAGAAAAGAATGTATGGAGGGAGGGTCCAGAGAAAACAAGTTCATGGCCTAGCCCAGCTTTGTGGGGGTGGTGGTGCTGTATTTCTAAGATGGAACTGGATTACAGATTCTTGATGAAATGGCCCGGGGACCCTGAGAGACCCAGAAAGTTTTGTCTAAATGAAGGGCCCTATGCTAAGCCACTGTCCAGACCCACAACAGGGAGATGATATGCAGTCACCGATGTTAGAAGGCCAAGGAGAAAGAGAAGCCAAGGTCACTGCACCAACACACAGTTGATCCTTTCTCCAAAGCAGCACTATAGCTTAGAGATTAAGCGCACAAACTGGTTATTCACTTATTAGCTGAGTGACCTTGGGCAAGTTGCATAATTCCCTTGAGCTCAGTTTCCTCTTCTTGTAAAATGGGGCCTATAAATAGTATTCCTGGGAGCCATAGGTTTAGCTCAGTGGCGCCACACCTGCCTTACAAGTGCAAGGTCCTGAGTTTGATCTCTGGTACCGGAAAAAAATAAAAAGGATTCTTGGGAGAATGAGATGAGATCATATAGAGTCAAGAAATGTTTCTTTTGTTGTTATTGTTATTATTACCTGACAAAGGGAAATTGACCAAGTACATCTGTCTTCTCCTAGCTATTACTCTTATTAAGCTCTTTACAATTACAGTTTCTCAAACTGGGTTATCTGGAGAGAATACAGTGAACTCATTCATAATGTGTATATTGATAATATGTGCATATGTTTAGGGTGGTAGAACAAGTTGTAGAAAAGATAATTTGAGTTTACTAATATGTGAAGCCTAATCCAAAGTAGAGAATCTGTCAGATTCAGTATGTTAATTATACCCAATGATTTGTATGTTTCCTTTCCTTGACTCCTTGGTCAGTTTTCAAAGTTCTAATAAGGGAATCAATTTCTGCTCACTCCTAACTGAAGCAACTCTTGAGAAATATTTCAGGATCTTTTTATTAAAAATATCGTCAATAACAAGACAAAATATTTCCTTAAAATTTACAAATTTATTCAAGATTGTACAAAACATTGCACTTTCATATAATGAAGTAGAAGCAATCGGGAGAGCTGCTTTTGGCATTCATAAATGTGGGTTATGTCAGCAGAAAGCCTGGAGGGCATTTCTGCTTTTGAGGTAATCAACCTTTAAAAGTGCATAATATACTTTTATGTGGTTTTAATGAGTTCAAAAATATATTTTCACATAGTGTAACTCCCCCCACACACACATAAAACATGACTTATTTCAAATCTTTTCCTTGGGGCGCATATTAAAAATGTTTATAAATAAACTGCTGAGAGCAAAAGGGCTATGTTCAAGCCAGAGGGCAGTGCTGTGCCAAAAAAAAAAAAAAAAAAAAAAA